AAATAAAATGAGAAATGTTGAGCCAAAATCTTGTGCTAGGCAAATAGAGGAAATCTATATCAGACTACCGTGTATGATGTATTCCTTAAAACTTATATTGATCTCTGACAATTGTGCAGGGTTTAAAGTCACCGTGTTTACAAGCCTGAAATGAAGATTTAGCACTCTAAGCTTTATAGGGGGAGAAAATCATTAGGAGGTTTGAAGTGATGGTTAGTATAAACTAAAGCTATTATAGCTAGTGTACATTAAGTAAAGTACTGACAGTGTTATTATGACAGAGATAGATCATTTACATAATTCAAGTTAAGTCAGATGTGTTTATGTGAATCAGATATACCAATAAATAATTTCTGTGTGTCTGTGTAGAAACCTATCTTTAGCTTACATCTGGTATAACACTTCAGGTTGTTAAATATATTAAAGTGTGTGTAAATAAGCAGGAATTATATACTTCAATAACATATCTGTGTAAACTGGGCCAACTTTGTGTAATATTGAAGTCATTAAACACTACTGTAGAAGGTTTAGGATGAATGAAATCCTGTTTTCTGTCTAGACTTGTTATATAGATTTTTCTACAATGATATGATTTTTTTATGATATTCCAGTAAAACAGCCATGTGTTATAGGTATGCTGTGGTAACGGTTCCTATGTCACGTCACAAAACACCCCCGCCCATGTCACATGTATACTCAATATTATGTCACATTCATGTATTTACAGGATTATATACGATAGAATTTATCTTCAGGATTTATTAATAAGATAACAAGGATTTCACTTATATATACATATAAATAGGTCACAGTGTATGTATCTTCATAAACATTGACACACATTTTATTGATGTATCATGACAACATATTATCTGTCCAATTTCTGAAATTCTTTGTTTGATCACTAGTTGAAATTAAACTGTTTTCTATTTTGAGTTTCATATCAGGATTAAGATATTTAAATATGCGATGATTGCAAGGTTGTTGATTTCACTACTAACTGTTTGTAGAGTATTAGTGGTTGTTTGTCCATGAATTCTAGGTGGAATACACTACATAGTTGATTTCTGTGTTTACAGTAAACCTTTGATCCGTTGGAATGGAGAGTATTTAGAACATGTAATTTTTTTTACTAAAACCAATAATTTTCCGTTAAGTGATAGTTCAAACCCTTTCTATTTTTGTTTCAATTACAATTCAGATTGTCTTAACTGATCAGTAATTTCCTTCCTAGCTGGGTTTTTTTAAACACTTGTCGTGATTTGGGGCGATATCGACTCTAATTGTTTGAACTCCAATTTATTTTCACAAGCAAGACTGTATAATTGGATTGGGTTCAACAATGCCTATTTAATTTGAGATGGAACGTCGTCGGAAGGTTTACTGTAGGAAGTGGTGAATTTTCTTGAGGAATTTATCAATATTTTTTCATTTGAATTCTGGCGTTCTATCATGTGTTATATAACCCTGGAGCCTGGTGCTATCCTACTGCTCTCAATTTTTGTGTTTGTGTACAACCACTCCTGGTGCAAGGCTTCAGCTGTCGATTTTGATGCCATATGAGAACAAACCTGGAATTGTTCAATACTTATTTTGTATGAGTGTTTGGAGAGTTGTTATTTAGTGTGTAGTTATCTTCATGACACTTGGTCAGATTAGTGCATACTGCACTGGTGCTGTGCTCAACACAGGTATAATACTGGTACAGATGTTTAACAACATGTAATTTGTCTGTCAGGCTGTGTGCTGTAATCCCATAGTAATTTGCTCCCAAAAGAGACACTTCACTCTCAGCAGGTGCTTGTCAATTAACCCTACAATAGAGTTCTTGAGCCTCGCTAGGAGAGAGGTCATATGCCAGCCTCTATGTAGTAAACAGAGATTTTGACCTGATGAAAACACTACATATAAATTGTATCAGAAAGATTTAATTATTTCTTGATTTTATTTCTATGGTGAGTTAGTGCTGAATATTTCCAAATGATTGTGAGTATCTGTGTTAGAAACTTAGGTGTAATGACTTGTGTTGGAAGGAAGTAAGATATTAATGACTGTATAATTATTACACAGCGAATATTCTGTATTGTATGACAGTGTTAAATGTGCTGTTCATGTCATCCTCCACCAGACCCCTAGTCTGTTACAGTTATGTAAACACTCCCTTTTAGCCATAACAAATGACTTGTTGTCATTGGCAGACTTTACATACTGATATCAAGTGCCCATTGTACACGATTGTGTCATACCCTCTGGCTCTGTACCTGTTTTGGAACCGTGGTTGACCCCCTGAGTGTTCCTCCCAGTATGTTATTGTCAGTGATCAGTGTGATCCACAGTTTCATTTTAATTCTTGAGGACAATATTCCTATACATCAGAACACAGAGATGATATACTTATATGTCAGGGACATATCCCTACACATCAGAACACATCAGGGACAATATCCCTACAAATCAGAACACATCAGGGACAATATCCCTATACATCACAACACATCAGGGACAATATCCCTATACATCAGAACACATCAGGGACAGTATCCCTATACATCAGAACACATCAGGGACAATATCCCTACAAATCAGAACACATCAGGGACAATATCCCTACACATCAGAACACATCAAGGACATTATCCCTACACATCAGAACACATCAGGGACAATATCCCTACACATCAGGGACAATATCCCTATACATCAGGGACAATATCCCTACACATCAGAACACATCAGGGACAATATCCCTACACATCAGAACACATCAGGGACAATATCCCTACACATCAGGGACAATATCCCTACACATCAGAACAAATCAGGGACATATCCCTATACATCAGAACACATCAGGGACATATCCCTACACATCAGAACACATCAGGGACAATATCCCTACAAATCAGAACACATCAGGGACCTATCCCTATACACCAGAACACATCAGGGACATATCCCTACACATCAGAACACATCAGGGACAATATCCCTACAAATCAGAACACATCAGGGACAATATCCCTATACATCAGGGACAATATCCCTATACATCAGGGACAATATCCCTACAAATCAGAACACATCAGGGACATATCCCTATACACCAGAACACATCAGGGACATATCCCTACACATCAGAACACATCAGGGACAATATCCCTACAAATCAGAACACATCAGGGACAATATCCCTATACATTAGGGACGTCAGGGACAATATACCTATACATCAGGGACAATATCCCTATACATCAGGGACAATATCCCTACACATCAGAACACATCAGGGACAATATCCCTACAAATCAGAACACATCAGGGACAATATCCCTACACATCAGGGACAATATCCCTACATATCAGAACACATCAGAGACAATATCCCTACAAATCAGAACACATCAGGGACAATATCCCTATACATCAGAACACATCAGGGACAATATCCCTACACATCAGAACACATCAGGGACAATATCCCTATACATCAGAACACATCAGGGACAATATCCCTACAAATCAGAACACATCAGGGACAATATCCCTATACATCAGGGACAATATCCCTACACATCAGAACACATCACAGACATTATTCTTTTAAATCAGAACACATCAGGGACATTATCCCTACACATCAGGGACAATATCCCTATACATCAGAACATATCAGGGACAATATCCCTATACATCAGGGACAATATCCCTACACACCAGAACACATCAGGGACAATATCCCTACAAATCAGAACACATTAGGGACAATATCCCTACACATCAGGGACAATATCCCTACACACCAGAACACATCAGGGACAATATCCATACACACCAGAACACATCAGGGACAATATCCCTACACACCAGAACACATCAGGGACAATGTCCCTACACACCAGAACACATCAGGGACAATATCCCTACACACCAGAACACATCAGGGACATTATTCTTTTAAATCAGAACTATCAGAACACATGATAAAATTAGCATAAGTTCAGGTCATGTTTTTGTTAATGGTTTAAATATAAGAAAAGGCAATGTTTCAGAAATTGAATGAATGTGATGATGATTGGTCGACTGTTGTAGACAGAAGTTGTAGATGTAGTTCACTTTAAGATCTGTAACATGTGAGCTAGGTACCCAATAGATAATATTGCTATAATGATCCCTGATATATTGGGTCCCTTTTAGGTATGACAAAAACATAACTTATAGTCCTCATTGGGGTTCTGTCAAGGAATATCAAGGATGACAGAGTTATTTCCCTTACCTTTAAAATAACGATATTTTTATGTTGTTTGTGGACACAGTTTTATTGCCTGTATACTGTACTAGAGTGTTCTATCTTCTCTACATGTTTGGTATATATCTCAACATAATGGAAAATTCTTGTAAACAGGATTTGTTCTTGACAGCAGTTACACTATATGACCAGGGATTTCTCGAAGCTTGCATGCTTATGTACCACACATTACATTCAACCAGTTGTAACGTCTCTTTTCAATAATTAATGTGTTGAGTCCAGGATAATGGTTGTTTCTGGTTTTTGTACTAAGCTAATAGTTTTAAGGCTTAGGTTGATGGAGTTGGTGGTTGTGTTTTAATGGAGAAAATTTTATAATTTCATAAATTTCTTCAATATGTAACTAGTTATCAGGAGTTGTAAGATATCTAGAATTTTGTGTTAGATATCCTTGTTTGTTTTTGTGTATATCTCTATGTACAATAAATACAAGTAACTTGGCACACAAGTAACTGGACCCGAAATATATAAAATAAATCTTCACCGCCAAAGTTATGCTTTATAAATCATTTCTGAAATGAAAACTGATGGTAATATATGTTATACATAACAGTATTGATGAGGGAAAACAGAATACATTGTCACACTGTTATTAGGCAGTGTATATGTAAGTGCTGGTTTTGGTAGATTCTGATAATTGTATCAGGAGGTATGATATTGATTAATAAACCTATTCTGATTTTTGTGTGTTTAGGAGGTACTCTGAAGATTTATGGCGACACACTCAAACCTGACATTCCTTACAAGACATTACTGCTATCCACCAGTGATACGGTGGCTGGCATCGTCAAGGAAGCCATGGAGAAATATGGCCTGGAGAACGAGGAAACAGATGATTTCTGCCTTGTACAGGTGCAGACTTTTCTACAGATATGATTAAATACTATAGTTATACCGAATTATAAAGTCACGTTTTAACGCTGTTTTACAAAATTATGTCTTTGGATATACTTGAAAAAAACAAACATACTATTACTTTATAATTATGTATTAAAATTTATAAAATTTGGATAAAAATAAAGTGATGGTGCCTATTATATTCATGTACTAACCTGTGTGTCCTTAGGTGATTGTTCCCCCTGGAGAACAGGAGTACCATGGCGGATCTATGGGGGAGGAGAGGATTATGGATGATAGTGAATGTCCTCTGTTTATTGCTATGGAGTTTCCTCCAGCACGAGGTAGGTTTATAAATAAATTCTGTTGTAAAACATTCATCATGAAGAATGTATCGCACTTAAAGATGATGCTGCTTATTTCAGTTTTTGTATTTTGTTTCAATTGTTGTACAAAGTTTACTTTTAATTTTGAAAATAACATCATGCAAAAAAATGTTTCCAAAAAGGTAATGTTCTGCTTGATCACTGTATGTAAGGGCATAACCAAGTCTGCCAACAGCCTAAAGGGAATTCAGATAATACACCTCTCTCCAGATCAGGTGATAATGACAGTGTTAGATATCATCAGTCCTTATTATTTTAGTCCTGTACTGTATAGATTTTATCAGAACTTATTAGAGTAAATGTTGTACACTATTTAGGTTCCCAAACATGGTATTGATCTCCGGCTATTTCATTATCATTAGACTTTAACAGACGACCTTTGATCTCAAACTTGACCTTTTGAGTCTTGATTTGTAGTAAGATACAAATCACATTCATTGTAAATGTTTAATTAACTTCTGCTGCAAAAAGTTTGCTCCATTTAAGCAATTTCATGATTTCCCATTGCATGGTTATCTCCCCTTAGCCACCTATTGATCCAGAATTCTGCCTCCCAGGCAGTTCTAATATGATTCACAAATTTGTTCCTTTGCCATCACTAAACAATCTTCCAAATTGGCTTTGTCATTCTCTCAATCATGTTTTACCACAGAGTAAAGAAGAGAAATTTTAACTTTTGGAATATGAGCGTGTTATTGCGTTTCGCGAAATAATTGACAAATTCAATATGACGTGAATTTGATCATGTTTGTATTGATTGTGGTCTGTCACGCTACTGATGTGGAGAGTTATGAGGCAGTGGTGCCAGTGGCCCTCAGCAAGTGTTTGTTTCTGTTGTCATTTATGTTTCTGTATTGAATTACTCTTGGTACAAAAAGGAATGCTATACAATGATAAAAATAACACCAGACATCTTGTTCAGTACTCTGCTAGCCCAAACAGATTCACCCTTAAACACAAACACTTTCCGGAAATAGTTCAAAATTCATGAAAAATTCATTTTGAGTAAACACAATTTGTAATAGGACAGGAAAGTACAAAAGTTAACAAGATCATCAAAAGAAAGTTTGGAGAAAAACACTGAAGCTTACAATAGTGTACTTGTGTACAGTTAGAGCAGCAGGTTGTGTAGCCTGCTTATAAATATTTCTGAGTGGAGAGGAAAATCACCCTGTAAACACACAGCAAGTATGGTTACATGTCCTGACATGTCAAACAATGTTACATTGAAAAAAATCAATGAAGATGCCTAGGAGTGAATCTATGAACCAATGAAATTTGATGTTGTATGATGGGAAGATGATGACTCTAAAGGTGACTCACTGTACCTGTGTTATATAATGCTGTCAGGATTTTAGGTCTTGTAGTTCGGCGATTGACATGATTAGCCGGTATATCTTATACTTTTGATTCCGAGCAATTCACAAATCATATCAGTTACAGTGCGCAGTGTTTACTGTAGATTGAAGATTTGCATGAGAACTTCTGCTGTCATTTTTATCTGGAACTTTTACTAGATGGAGATAATTGATTTAACCAGTTGCTGTTGAAAGCAAAATATCAGATTCTTCCAGGAATCTCCTAGATTGGAACTATTTACTGCTTAGTTACATTAACTTGCCTGGTTTTAGGCACTGTACTCTTCCAACTGAAACGCCGATCGCCAGACCAGACAGGAACAAAACACAAAAAGCTACGGGCAGTATCACATGATGATCTCCGCGTTCACCAGAGAGATGAACCAGAAACCATGCCACAAAATAAACTTCCTTACCTAATAGAGCTCCAACCAGGTAAGTCTTTATAGAGCTCCAACCAGGTAAGTCCTCATAGAGCTCCAACCAGGTGAGTCCTTATAGAGCTCCAACCAGGTAAGTCCTGATAGAGCTCCAACCAGGTAAGTCCTTATAGAGCTCCAACCAGGTAAATCCTAATGTAGCGCCATCCACTTAAGTCCTTATGGAGCTTTATGCAGTTAAGTCCTGATAGATTAACCCAGAGTAAGGCCTCTTTGGCATAAGATGCAAATACATTGTTCTGTCACTTAGATATTTTTGTTTATACAGGATAGCACGACAGGTTCAAGGTAAATCAATCTCATTGCTTAATGATTGACAACTCTGTTGAATAGTTGTAACAATTGTAGGGGGTTGGGAGAGGGGTGGGGTAAAGGCATAACGTCCCTAAGAGTAAATTTCGATGGAAATCCTGATGTGGATCCAATAGTATACACGTATACAGGTAATGAGTACAAAGGAGTGTTGGACTCCTTCCTTTGTACTCAGTTGTTAAAAAAGTTAAAACAAATTATTTACGACATAGTAAAAGTATTTCAGGTAAAGGCACAGAATAAAATGGAATTATTTTACATTTGTTTATACTATGATAAGTTGGTTAATAAATGTGACATTGTGACACGGTACTGATTCCTGTGTTTCAGACGGATCAGATAACCCTAACGGAAGGGTACACCAGATCCATCGAAAGTTTACAGATGTTGGCAGTGACAAGTCTACAGCAGTCATATTTGTATGTATAAAGATTTTATGTCATCCTGTTTGCTTCTTCTACAAAAACCATGTGTCCAGATTTTTTAACAGCACACAGTGCAACTTCAATTTTTGCTTGGAGGTTTTTTTTTAATTTAGAAAAAATAACAAAAAATCAAAACAGAAATATATCATCAATTTCAGCATCAAGAAATTACTTTAAAGTTAAGTTATTAGGTAAAAGATCACTTCTGTCGTACATGTTGTTGTTTTGTATCATTTAACTGTTATTTGATAAGTTTTATTAACGTACATGAGCCCTCAGGTATTAGTTAGTAAAGCCAACAGAATGACATTACACACATCTTATTCTCACATTCTACTGTAGGTTAAGGGAACAAACATCCAACCCAGGCACTGTGTGATTGGCTTATCCCCTAACGATGGCATTGTCACGGTAACACCAACCAACACAGAGTCTGAAACCTATGTCAATAATCAGCGTGTGTACGAGTTAACCACACTACAACATGGAAACACAGTGCGACTAGGAAAACTCAACTACTTTCGATTCATTGATCCGATTTACGAGGAGGTAAGAGTGATGCCAAGGTCGGATGTACTGTTACTGTTAAGATGGTTATTGTTGAAGAGTCCCTTCGTTTGCTAATTTAATTAGTTAAATAAATCCGAGAAAAGCAGAGCTGTTTCATGACTTTCATGAAAAGTGCATTTCATTTATCAATCTTTTGGTGAAACTGCAAAAATTTGAACCTTTAGAAAACACAGGCTTTACAATAAGTAACCTTGTTATAATTAAAAAATGATATAATTATCCCATAATCTGGAAGGATAGAAGTTTAACTGAAGTTTAAAACTTGATTTTTGTTACTATGAGATTTCCATGGAACAGCTGATCATTTACCATTAGGTTATTTGTTAACGTTACTACAACCTAATGCTGGAACAAGGGATGTGCTTCTACACTACTTAGTTATTTTTTTAACAGAGATTAAGAAAGGGACAGGTGTTACCTTCTGGTCCTATTCAGAAGAGGGGAGGTCCCTACAGCCCCAAACCGCAGGAAACAAATTTTGATGTGGATGGGAAAGTGGAGACTATGGCTGATAGTTCTCCCAGGAGTAATGATCAACCCATGCATGCTGATCTACAAAAACGGTAAGGTTAACGCCTCATCAAAAAAATACCATAATCAGTGGTAATACCATAGATACATATTCCTCAACTCCTCCTCAAATATCTACAACGTACAGCACAATTTAACATGTAGATATCTTTTTAATTATACCTCAATTTAATGACTGATGAAAATTGCAGTAAAAATATATAAAAAATGGACTCTTTCTCCTAGAGTGAATTACTACCATTTTTAGGTCACCAGAGACAAAGTCTCAGGGTGATCTATTGCGATCGCCTTATGTCTGATGTTGTACACAATAAACTTTTAAATTTTCAACTTCTTCAGGAAAACTTGTGAACTGATTTCAATGAAAATTTATAAAATCTTCCATGGCTTAATTGTAAATTATATGGTTCCCGTCCCCAAGGGGTCTAGCAGCATGTAAAAAGAGTCAAAGTGATTGAAAATTTCAAAATCTTCTTCTCAAATCCCAGGTTTGATAGAACCAAGTACTTTTCATGGATGAAAAGGCCTTCAGATGCTTTACCAAAATTGTAAACTTTCATGACTCCAGGGTCTCACATTTCCCCCTGGGGAGGGGGTAAAGTTATTATAGTGTATATAGGATAATTACACTTTTGAATATTATTTGTTTATTTTCTATTGGAAACAGTTCAAACCTGGTTATAATTATTACCTTAAGATGTCAGTTTTATGAGATGCACATATTGACCTCAACTGATGCCCAGGGGCAAATGGTCGGGGCCAAAAATTGATCAAATTGACTGAAATCAAAGATGTTCTACTGTTCCTGGATGGAAGATTTTATTAAGGAAAATTCAAATCTTGAGTAATTTCTTTTAATTCAATCTTGGCTAGAAGCCCAAGCATGGGACAGCAGTTAATGTATTCACAATTTCCATTTGCATTATGTGTACAATATAGTAAAATATGACATTTTTTAACAAAATCATTTCTGTGACATGTTACAAGAAGCATTGTGACTCCGTTGGCTCTTGTTCTACATAGAAATTCACTCATTTCACTTTGTACCAGGAGCCAATCTGTCCAAAATATGGGACCCCCAAGAGAACCAGAGAGACCTCCTCCTCAGAGACGGGTTGATGAGGCCTTACCGGCAGCTTTGGAATACAGAGATGAAAGTAAGTTACCTCCCTTCATATGCAGACAGTATTGTAGAAAATGACGTTTTTAGGTTACCTCCCTTTAGCCACAGGGAGCTCTACATGTGTGTCTGGCAGTGCATTCAAAACAGTTTTGAATTGTAATGTTTTCATTAAGTTTTCATTCTTGTAGATATCAAAGAACATGCTTAAATAGATCTTCACTTTTGATAAAAGAGGAAGTGTGTTACATAGATAGGAATAGATTTTGAAGGTTGGATGGTTTGTCATATCACAAGAACATTGAACTTTTTGTGGTTTTTGTTGTTTTTGCTTGATAATGGTTTTTAGTGTGTAAATAATAAATTGGTTTGACCTTTCCAGAGGAAGATGGATTCCTTACCTCTGTGATACTTGACAACAACTCTGGGACACAGTTTAAACTAGCTCCCACCTACACCATTTACATGGCACTGAGATATACTTTATCAAACAACTACCGCCCCGACCTCAGCCCCTCAGAACGAGCCACCAAGGTCACCATGTTGGTTTCTAAGGTCTCTAAAATGATTCTGCAAGCCATACAGGTAAGATAGTGAAACTCTGTTGAAGTACTTCTATAGATATCCACCATCACTAGGCTCTCTATTGTGTGGGAGTTGTACGGTGGATAAAACTATAGCCCAAGGTGACTCTCTAGGGAAGGTGTCATTCACCATCTAAAATGTCTTAATTTGATGATAGATTTTTTTTTGCATGAGATTTCTGTTGACTCAAACTGCAATATTCTAGTGTGGTGTTATATGTGTTGAATTATGAACAACTTCACACTCAAACTTCCATAAAATATTTTCTTGTCAGTATATGGTAATATGGTGTGCAGTTGTCAAAGTCATTCTGAAGAAAAAGCATAACAATAGATACAACCTATTTCCTATTTCAGTCCAACTGTGATAACCCAGCCACCCTAGCGTTCTGGATGGCCAATGCATCGGAGGTGCTGCACTTCTTTAAAATGGATCACGACATTCACCCATTCTCGTTGGATGCCCAGGAGACGCTAGCAGAGTCTGTACAGATGGCATTCCACCACCTGGTGCGCTGTCTCCAGTATGACCTTCAGCGGACCATGCCCGCCTTCCTGGATGAGAGTGACTCGGCAGATGATGACATGATGCAAGGTAAAAAAAGCCTGAAGTTTACTTTCTTTTACAAGTTGTGATATTAGCTTGACAAGACATATTCAAAGCCCCAGAAAACTTATTTATTATTGTATTAATGTTCTTCAAGCTGGTAAGTCTACAATAAACAGTGATAGACCATTTTATTAATTTTTGATACCTTTGTTGGTAGGGAGAGAGAATAAGGACTGCTATCATTACCACACTTTTTTCATATTTATTGTATGTATTGACATAGTGATTTACAAGTCTTATGAATGTTTTGTGCAGATGACCCTCGATACAATAGAGGCAAACCAACTCTTGGAGATGTCCTTGACACGCTGTCCTCAGCCATGAATCTCCTACGCCGTTGTCGTGTGAACGCCGCCCTTACTATCCAGTTGTTCTCACAACTCTTCCACTTCATCAACATGTGGTTGTTCAACATCATGGTGACAGGCCACCACAGTGAGTTCTGTACACGTAGCTGGGGAGTTCGACTCAAAAGGAGGCTTGGGCGAATCGAGGCCTGGGCAGAGAAACAAGGGTTGGAACTGGCAGCTGATTGTCACCTATGTCGTATCATCCAGGTAAGGTTTCCACCAATAGACACCAGGTGATTCTGTACTGGTATTTATTGTAACAAGACAAGACTAAATTATACACCTTCATATGAAGTCAGTTATTTCTTTTGTTCTTTCTTAAATTTGTGAAAAAACAATGTATAATGTTATGACTATTCATTTGAATATTGTTTTTGTCTCACCTTAACAAAGATGTTAAAGGGTGCCTAAGGTGTTGAATCAGTGTCCAAATGTCAGTTAAAGAGATGTCATTTGCTCAGAAAGTATACATACACTAGCTTCCAAGTAAGGTTATACTGTTTGACGATTGGAAAAATAGCTCAAAATAGGACAAAAGTACTATTTTACATTTAGAAAATGTGAAATGTTCGTAAATTAAGAATTAGCAAGAAAGTCTCAAATTGACTTAAATTGTTGTCAATACCTTAAAAACAATATACTTTAATATATGAATGAGGATCCTTATTTATTCCTGTCCTTTTTCTAATTTTCATGTTTTTGTGACAAAGTAATTCAGAAAGTGGAAATAGGTACAGGGAGGCATAGAACTTGATGGAATGCTAGTTGTAGATTCAGATTATACATGAATTAAATTCTGACATTAATGTTGTAAATACAGAATGTTTTATCTTATTTCTTTACCTCAATCTCATTGATCTGAACTTTCACTGTTCCTATTTCCAGGCTGCACACCTATTGCAAGCACCCAAGTCTAGTTCTGATGATATAGCCGATATCAGCTCAACGTGCTTTAAGCTGAACTCGCTCCAGCTTCAGGAACTGCTTCAGAGATACATGCCAGAACCAGGCGAGCCACCCATTCCACACAGTCTCATAGAAAGTGTTGTGTCCATAGCACAGAACATGGCTGATGACCTGACAAAGAATGATGGTCGTGAGGTACAGCTGGAGGAGGACTCAGACTTACAGCTGCCGTTCCTACTACCAGAGGATGGGTACTCCTGTGATACAGTCCGAAACATTCCTAATGGTTTAGCTGATTTCATTGAACCTTTTGCCAGAGCTGGTAAGATATTCACTAGTTTATGCTGTTTAGAGTTTCATCAGAATAGATTTCATACCCTGATTACAACAAATGACTCAAGTCATGTTGCAAGATTTGTTGGATAATTCTGAGAAATTTTTGGTTGACTATTTGATATAAGCTATAATATGTTTTGGGTTGTGCTATAATATGTTTTGGGTTGTATAACATACATTCCTGGAATGTTGACAGGTTTGTGTCGTATGGTAGCTCAGCCAGCATCACGAGGAGAATGGACAGTATACATGACCAGTGATGAACACATGGTGGATGATGTAAGTACATCCTTTATTAATTCCTCCTATTACTGTCTCCACCTCCGCGTCTTAGCTCCTCCTTGTTGTTGTTATCATGGTTGTCGGTAAACAAAAGTGAAAGTAAATGAAGTTCTCTGAGTTTGTAGCCAATAGTGTGTACTCTTTTCTGTAAGTGTACTGTAGTCATCCTGCTGTGGGGGTCACACATTTAAAGGCAGGGCTATGGGGATGTATCCTTTGTGTTAGTATACTGCTGTGGGGTCACACATTTAAAGGCAGGACAATGGGGATGTATCCTTTCTGTTAGTATACTGCAGTGGGGGTCACACATTTAAAGGCAGGGCTATGGGGGATGTATCCTTTCTGTTAGTACACTGCTGTGGGGGTCACACATTTAAAGGCAGGACTATGGGGATGTATCCTTTCTGTTAGTATACTGCAGTGGGGGTCACACATTTAAAGGCAGGGCTATGGGGATGTATCTTTCTATTAGTATACTGTAGTCTTTCTGTTGTGGGGGTCACACATTTAAAGGCAGGACTATGGGGATGTATCCTTTCTGTTAATATACTGCTGTGGGGGTCACATATTTAAAGGCAGGGCTATGGGGATGTATCCTTTCTGTTAGTACACTGCTGTGGGGGTCACACATTTAAAGGCAGGACTATGGGGATGTATCCTTTCTGTTAGTATACTGCTGTGGGGGTCACACATTTAAAGGCAGGACTATGGGGATGTATCCTTTCTGTTAATATACTGCTGTGGGGGTCACACATTTAAAGGCAGGGCTATGGGGATGTATCCTTTCTGTTAGTACACTGCTGTGGGGGTCACACATTTAAAGGCAGGACTATGGGGATGTATCCTTTGTGTTAGTATACTGCTGTGGGGGTCACACATTTAAAGGCAGGACTATGGGGATGTATCCTTTCTGTTAGTATACTGCTGTTGGGGGTCACACATTTAAAGGCAGGACTATGGGGATGTATCCTTTCTGTTAGTATACTGTTTTGGGGGGTCACACATTTAAAGGCAGGACTATGGGAATATCTATTATAGACAGTCTACTATAGCCAAGTTTAGGTAGTGCCCTGAAGATCTTATGAATTAATGATTACAGTGCAACAAGACAGATCAGTTTAGTTTGGTTCAACATCAAATTTTTCTCACTCTGATTTCCAACTTCCACAGAAGGGAAAATTTCTTCATCAACACATGAACAAACACATTGGTCTGTCATCGTCTGTATGGTATCAGTGTCTACCTAACTCAGTCTGTCATCCTCTGTAGGTATCAGTGTCTACCTAACTCAGTCTGTTATCCTCTGTATGGTATCAGTGTCTACCTAACTCAGTCTGTCATCCTCTGTACAGTATCCCTGTCTACCTAACTCAGTCTGTCATCATCTGTACGGTATCCCTGTCTACCTAACTCAGTCTGTCATCATCTGTACGGTATCCCTGTCTACCTAACTCAGTCTGTCATCCTCTGTACGGTATCCCTGTCTACGTAACTCAGTCTGTCATCCTCTGTACGGTATCCCTGTCTACCTAACTCAGTCTGTCATCCTCTGTACAGTATCCCTGTCTACCTAACTCAGTCTGTCATCATCTGTACAGTATCAGTGTCTTCTCTTTATATGATTTCTATTCTGTCTATGCACTAATCGGCTTCACATCAAAGTTAAACCTCAGTGGACAATACCTGTTGCCATGGAAATAATTAGAATTTCATCTGACAGATTTATGTAAGGTTTTATGAACCAGGCTGTCAGCTAGTATTGAGCTTAATATGATCCTGTAAACACAAGTGCTTTTTAGACATGTTCTCAGCGACAGCAGTTTGGATACAACCTGGGAAATAATGGGTCCGTTTGTGAAGGTCACAGATTGGTCATGGGGGAAGTGTGTTATTGATTCATTGTGTGGTATTTTTATTGAAGCGATAGATTACATCCGAACAATCATCATCAATGTTATGTTTCTGAGAAAATATTCTCCTCTGATCCGAAGATAGCGATTTTCTTTTGAAGATTGACGTCAATCTCATTATCATATTGTGTTGGGATTTGTGTTATCATATCTATTACTGCACCTTTCAACAGTTGATGGAACACATGTAACTTGTGGTCTGGTAATGAATGACAGTGCTGCAAAACAAAGGTTGGACATCACTCATGTACATCGCTATAGATGGAATAAGCTGGCTCTCTTCATTAAACCTTTTTTTTTCCTCCCAGAGGAGTCTCATTTTCATTAGTGTGAAAATTAGGCAATTAATCAGTGACATCTTTTGTGAAAGGAGAGTTATGAATCTCTCCTACACAGTGAAAACGTACTGAAATCTGAAGAATATTTCACTGGAGATTTAGGTTATTCTGTGACCAGGATATATTCTGAGGGCAAAGTTAGGGATATCACCTTAGACCTTTTACATGGAAGCTGTGTGAAAATTATATAAGTTACCAAAGAGTTGTGACAAGGAATCTACCTGAGAGTTATGACAAGGAATCAACCTGAGAGTTGTGACAAGGAATCTACCTGAGAGTTGTGACAAGAAATCAACCTGAGAGTTGTGACAAGGAATCTACCTGAGAGTTGTGACAAGGATGTTACCTGAAAGTTAAGGATGTTACCTGAGAGTTGTGACAAGGACGTTACCTGAGAGTTAAGGAAGTTACCTGAAAGTTGTGACAAGGACGTAACCTGATAGTAAAGGAAGTTACCTGAGAATTGTGACAAGGATTTTACCTGAGAGTTGTGACAAGGAAGTTACCTGAGAGTTGTGACAAGGACGTTACCTGAGAGTTAAGGAAGCTACCTGAGAGTTGTGACAAGGACATTACCTGAGAGTTGTGCAAGCTCGTTACCTGAGAGTTAAGGATGCTTCCTGAGAGTTATGACAAGGACGTTACTTGAAAGTTGTGACAGGACATTACCTGAGAGTTGTGACAAGGAAGTTACCAAAGATTTGTGACAAGGACATTACCTGAGAGTTAAGGAAGCTACCTGAGAGTTGTGACAAGGACGTTACCTGAGAGTTAAGGAAGCTACCTGAGAGTTGTGGAAAGGACGTCACCTGAGAATTATGACAAGGACCTTACCTGAGAGTTAAGGATGCTACCTGAGAGTTGTGACAAGGACGTTACCTGAGAGTTGTGACAAGGACGTTACCTGAGAGTTATAATGGTGATAATTCAGAGCTTAACACATTACTGGCAGCAGTAAACTGTAGTTTGAGGCCGATGTGTAATGAAGCCCTTGACAAATTGATTAGGATATTGATTTTCATCAATCAGCCATGTTTACCAAAGGACTGGCAATGTTTGATGTGAAACCTAATGTTGGAAACCATATGATAGCTGCAGTTCTTGATTCTGGAAATATGACCTCAATTATTATGTAGCTGATATATGATATTTAGATTGAGGCAAGAGACTTGTCTTTTGCTTCATGTGATTGTATTGTTTACAAGCATTCTAGAAACACATAGAACATGATAATGATGTATGGACATTCAGCTGTTACAAGTTCAGTTCTCCAGGATTGTGTACTTGGTTCTGATTCTGTTTTATGGTGCCAGTGTTTTACTTGTGTGGATCTCTTCAGTAAGGTACAACAGAATAACAGCCCATCATCTTCTGAATACTGAATATCTTGGTCAACCTTTTCTCCACCTGTAGTGTACGTGTTGGTTACCTGTATTGTATGTTGGTTACATGTAGTGTATGTTGGTTACCTGTAGTGTATGTTGGTTACCTGTAGTGTATGTTGGTTACCTGGAGTACTTGTTGGTTACCTGTAGTACTTGTTGGTTACCTGTAGTATACATGTTGGTTACCTGTAGTACATATTGGTTACCTGTAGTACATATTGGTTACCTGTAGTACATGTTGGTTACCTGTACTACATGTTGGTTACCTGTAGTACATGTTAGTTACCTGTAGTACATATTGGTTACCTGTAGTGTTTTTTGGTTACCTGTAGTACATGTAAGTTACCTGTAGTACATGTTAGTTACCTGTAGTACATGTTGGTTACCTGTAGTACATGATGGTTACGTGTAGTACATGTTGGTTACCTGTAGTAAATGACGGTTTCCAAAGTGATGGAGCAGAACACAAGTGGTTAATATGGTAACTGACAAAGCAGGAACAATACAATCAAAGCCACTGTGCATGGAATAATCAAGGTAAATAGATCTCAAAGACCTCAGGTAACAGGCCATTGTCATCACGTTGGAATTAAACACAGCATTGATATCCCATGCTGGAATTAAACAAAAGAACTCTTGAACATGCCACTGGAATTAAACAAAAGAACTCTTGAACATGCCACTGGAATTAAACAAAAGAACTCTTAAACATGCCACTGGAATTAAACAAGTGAACTCCTTGTCATGCCACTGGAATTAAACAAAAGAACTCTTAAACATGCCACTGGATATGGAATTAAACAAGTGAACTCCTTGTCATGCCACTGGAATTAAACAAAAGAACTCTTGAACATGCCACTGGAATTAAACAAAAGAACTCTTGAACATGCCACTGGAATTAAACAAAAGAACTCTTAAACATGCCACTGGAATTAAACAAGTGAACTCCTTGTCATGCCACTGGAATTAAACAAAAGAACTCTTAAACATGCCACTGGATATGGAATTAAACAAGTGAACTCCTTGTCATGCCACTGGAATTAAACAAAAGAACTCTTGAACATGCCACTGGAATTAAACAAAAGAACTCTTGAACATGCCACTGGAATTAAACAAAAGAACTCTTGAACATGCCACTGGAATTAAACAAAAGAACTCTTAAACATGCCACTGGAATTTAACAAGTGAACTCCTTGTCATGCCACTGGAATTAAACAGAAGAACTCTTAAACATGCCACTGGATATGGAATTAAACAAGTGAACTCCTTGTCATGCCACTGGAATTAAACAAAAGAACTCTTGAACATGCCACTGGAATTAAACAAGTGAACTCTTAAACATGCCACTGGAATTAAACAAGTGAACTCTTAAACATGCCACTGGAATTAAACAAGTGAACTTTTTATTATGCCACTGGAATTACACATGTTCACATGTAAAATAAATGCACTTGACATTAAGAGTGCTGGATTAGTCTGTAGGTTTGTTATTATGACACTGAGTACGTAGGCAACTGTTGTGATACCCTCTTGTTTTATTTCTGTATGCTGGTGTGGGAACCAGATCTATTTTGGATTCTGTATTTGGAGGAATTATACATATAAAATCCTGATATAACAGAATGACGTCAAGGATGAAAAAGGTATCATGTGTCTGTTGCCGGGCAAACTGAATAAAAATGCTAAGCGCATCTTATTTTTGTTCCAAATTAACTTAGCTTGACTCATTGAGAGACTATAAAAAGAAGCAAAAATGATGACAATTTTCTAGAAATCAGCTGACCCTGGATAGGTGTTTGATCATTAGGCTGTAGACTGAAGGATAATCCCTAGAATTAGCTGAGAATATTTCATAGACGGAGAAACATGGCATAGTGATCACAAAATTTGTCTGGTTGAGGATTGTACACTATACCAAAGTGTAAATACTTGTTTTGTGAATTCTTGGATCAGAAGAGGACAAGACATTACAAAGTTTGTGAGGATTTATTAATAACAAGATGACCAATAGGAATGTCCTGTAAACACAAGTTGTCCAGGAAGGGGCTAATTACACCAATGTGTCAGTATATGACTGATGGACGCTACACCAGGACTACCACCACAAAAGTAAAGCTGATATAATTGTGCCAGGGGTGTTGAGGGAGGGGTTGGGAGGGTGAGACGGGGGTTTGGCACCAAGCCCATGGAGGTAAGGAAGTGGGCTGAACTATATGTGCAAAGTTAAGGGGATACAAAAATGAGGGCCAAGGTAAGGAGGGTACCAAAATAAGGACACAGGGTAAAGGGGATACAAAAATGAGGGCACAAGGTAAAGGGAGTATCAGACTTACATTGCCAGGGATATAGGGGCACCAAACCAATTGTGCCAGGGAAAGGATTGGAATGGGAAGATGGGGGCACCAAAGTCCAACTAATTGTGCCAGAGAAGAGAGGGAGAGGTTGAATCCAAACTAATGGTGCCAGATAAAGAAAAAACAAATTTGTGGTGCAAAGGAAATCAGGGCACTAAACCAATGTTACAACATCATAGGACCCAAACTAATGATTCTGGGGAGGGAGCACTGAATAAATGTTTTCTGATCTAGTGAAAGAACAACACCATATTTATTATTTTTGATCCAAGGAAGGGTGGGCACATAAGTCATGGTTTATGATTCAGGGATCATAATGGAGGCTCAGCTAAAAACTCAGGTTTAAGGGAACATGGAATGGGATAACGAGACATTGGTTCAGGGAACCAGGAGGGGATCATGAGGGGGGATTACCAAACATTGGTTCAGGGAACCAGGAGGTGATCATGAGTGGGGATTACCAAACATTGGTTCAGGGAACCAGGAGGTGATCATGAGTGGGGATTACCAAACATTGGTTCAGGGAACCAGGAGGGGATCATGAGGGGGAATACCAAACATTGGTTCAGGGAACCAGGAGGTGATCATGAGTGGGGATTACCAAACATTGGTTCAGGGAACCAGGAGGTGATCATGAGTGGGGATTACCAAACATTGGTTCAGGGAACCAGGAGGGGATCATGAGGGGGAATACCAAACATTGGTTCAGGGAACCAGGAGGGGATCATGAGGGGGGATTACCAAACATTGGTTCAGGGAACCAGGAGGGGATCATGAGGGGGGATTACCAAACATTGGTTCAGGGAACCAGGAGGAGATCATGAGGGGGAATACCAAACATTGGTTCAGGGAACCAGGAGGAGATCATGAGGGGGGATTACCAAACATTGGTTCAGGGAACCAGGAGGGGATCATGAGGGGGGATTACCAAACATTGGTTCAGGGAACCAGGAGGGGATCATGAGGGGGAATACCAAACATTGGTTCAGGGAACCAGGAGGAGATCATGAGGGGGGATTACCAAACATTGGTTCAGGGAACCAGGAGGGGATCATGAGGGGGGATTACCAAACATTGGTTCAGGGAACCAGGAGGGGATCATGAGGGGGAATACCAAACATTGGTTCAGGGAACCAGGAGGAGATCATGAGTGGGGATTACCAAACATTGGTTCAGGGAACCAGGAGGGGATCATGAGTAGGGATTACCAAACATTGGTTTTTTTAATCAGAGGGGCATCATTTGAGGGGACTACTAAGTATGAGTTCTGGGAATTGGCAGGGGATCAATAGAGGGAACATCGAAACATATTACAGGTCAGAGTATTTTTCCGAAGGAAAGGCACTCAAAAGTGGTATTGTGTGTACCGAAATCTGATGGTTGTCAGTTAAGAAGAAACTCAGAGTGAATTACAATGTCCACTATAGAGTAAATACTAGACTTTTTCTGTACATAAAACAGATTGTAACATAGAGAGGAGTAAATCAAGTTGTGATGATTAATAATGTTGGTATCACACACTTCCTGTCTTACTCACTTAATTCTCAGACAAATGTACATTGCCTCCAATTGCATTGATTTTTACCCCTGTCACAGAGAAGGGAAACATTCCTAGTTTTGTATGAAATATTTATTACAAAAGTAAATTGTTATGTTTGTTATTGACCTGATGACTTGACGATACCTGTGTGATTCACTGATCCTGTAAGTCTCTCGGGAGCTGCTGTGTAATTATCAGCAGTATTACCAACAGGACAGGTTTTTATATGCTGTAATTGATATTCACACTGACCTATAGATAGTATTAGTATTTACCTTGTCAAAGTCGAGTCTATTTAGTTTTACAGGGTGTTAGCTACATTATCTGCTGCAACACAAGGCACTTGTAATCAGGTAAAGAAGATTAACAAAAATCCACTTTCTTGACCGATGTTGTGTGTAAATTAGGTATAGGAATCAGAACGTTTACCTTTCTGTTGCCTTCATGGTTGATACGAAACACATTTCACTAAATTGGTCTAATTACTATTAGTGCCCTCCAAATTAGTTACAGGAGACATGGGGGAGGGGGGTTGTTATTTGAATCAAATTGTCTGTTAATATTAGTAGTGTGTTGTGTAGTTGTATATTTGAATAAAGCTGGTTTTTTGTTGGTTTTTTAAAGTCTTCTTTATCATCAAAATTGCCACATTACTAATAGTTTATGTGGTGATGAAGTGTGATATGTAGACATTTGTAACGGTCATTTTAAATCTATTTGATCTTGTGTTGATGGACCTTCAGCAATCAGCCAGACTTTGATATTAATTTCAATCACATTTAATTTACCATGATTTTAATCAATTTGACTGACTGTTAGTAGTAATGTTTATAATACTTTGTTATTTCAGGCTGTACAGAGAGGGCCTTCCACACCACAGCAGCCTCCCGCTGCAGAACCCAGACAGCTACGGCCACAGCTCCCCAAGGAGCCAGAGGTCATGACAGTGACCTTCAACAAGGTCAATGGGAGCATGGGACTCAGTATTGTTGCTGCTAAGGTAATGCTGTTCATACACATATCATGTCAAAGTGTTCAATAAGAATGTAAAATACTCAGCTGCAAAGGTAAGTGAGCAGAATCTGATATAACAATTACATTTCTTTGCCAAATGAATGATGATTCAGTGTAGCATTTGTGCCAAAAATTGTCTCTAAAGCCAATAACACAATAACCCAGTGATTCTTATGAAAAACCTTCAAGGAATTGGGTACTTAAGCACTTGGCTAGTTCCACTAAAATTTATCACAATATGTGTTTTACTTAAAGTACAAACAGTTCAGCTGTTCTCAGTATCAGTTGCTATTGGACTGTGGCTACCATCTCATATCATTTCAGGACAACTACTCTGTTACAGCTGACTTACAACATGCAGAATTATCTCCCTTAGGTGATAACAATGACACTTACTTTGTTCATATATTCTGTGAATTCTACGAGTATCAATGTTATATTAGAGGCAGGTTTTTTGGCTTTGTTTTTAAAACAATTTTACAGAATTAATTCATGAGTCATGGTATGAGTAATATATGAAAGAACCTGAAGTTTGTTTGGAGTTATTACTGTTCCAGGTCACTTGTGGCATGTAAAGTTATCTGCCCCTGATAAAGTTTACAGTTTGATTGTTAGGGACCAGGTGTGCTAATTACTAACCTCTTTTGTCCAGATTGCCACAAGTCTAGATTTCCTTTTTTTGAATTATAATCTCTGCTGTTGTTATGGTTACTATCAGTGTGCATGACCTCAAATTGTTGTGTGAGGTCATGTGTGAGGTCATACAACTTGGGAGGGGTGTAATGCCGTGATATGGGGATTATGGACTTGTGTATAAAACTGTTACTGTATGGTATCAGACTTTGGAGTTCACCTTGAATACAACCTAACATGATAGACTGATATTAGTCTGTGTGTAATGCTAGTCCTACTGATACAACTGTTATTCCAGGGCTATTTACTCAAGGTAAATAGGCAAATCTCAGGCCATGTCAATCAGAGGGGCTGACACCTAGTGAAAAATACTGACTTTTGTTCACATTTAAATGTAAAACTTCCACTCTAATGTGACAGTATCACAAACGCTCATGTAAACAATGGTTTTAAATTCTTCACCCTGTTTGTATGTTGTTACCTGATGGAAAAACTATACTTGATTTCTGAAGTCTAAATGTTGGTGGTTGAATTTGAAGTATTTTAAAATGTAAATGATGAGTATTGTTACATTAAAACAAAGTAGTTGTATTCTACTGAAAGTAAATATTCTTGTGTATATAGGGGGAGAGAAATGTTTAATATAGTGATGAATTTATATTGCATAAATCAAAATTTTATTTTAAGTGTGATAATTAAAGAAATGTTAGATAATTAGCAATACGGTTAAAAATGAGCCTGACAAGGTTATCATCCCTAATAAAGGAACTATTTTGTGGATTAATGTGGTTTGGTTTTTAATTTGATTATTTTAATTTTAAACATACCTGAATGAATTTGGATGGTCTAAATTTTCCCTAAATAGGAAATATTTCATTTGTGACTTTGACTTAAGCTAAGGTGTACTTGTATTACATACAGTGAAGTAAGGCTGGTCCAAGTCTGATATATTATGACACAGATCTCAGAAGTTGTCACAATCTCATGGTGCCTTGGATTAATAAATTACAGCTAATTTGATATATCCTGTACCTGTGTGTAGTTAGAAGTCAGCAGGCATACTGAATATCCCTGCTTTACTGCTATGATGATTTGGTAAAGTGTCTGTTTAACTTACTGTAAATGTTTCTTGTTGCATTTAAAAATACAAAGGCAAATTAGTTAATAAGACACATTTAAAGAAAGTGAGTCATACTTTCCGTAATGACATTTGCAAGGTTAAATATGCAGTGAGTGGGAGCAGACAGTAATATGATATCTGGTTCTCCTGTATTTCCCCTACATAACTACCTACAGTGTCTGTACCGCTGTATTGATAATTTTAAGTAACTTGACCAGTCTCTGCGATTAACTGATCAATTTATACACAGGAAATTAGTTAGGATTTAAACTGTTTTTCTTTATCATTTTAATTTATGGGTGAAATTGATATTTATATCTAAAAACTATAAAGATATATCAAATTACATTAATTTCTCGAGTCTAAAGGAAAAAAGAAGAGATCTTGAATCTAAGTTCAGTCAGACATGTCCATCTTGTAATATTGTGCGTCATTGTAAATAATGGGTTGTTACTGCAGTACTACTTATTTCATTAGATGTTATATTTACACACAACGATTATAATCATATTTCAATATTTTGTCTAAATGTTTGTCTCTGACAAGAACAGATAGGATCTGTTCTACTTCTGGTATTGCAGGTCTTTTTTATCTATTCTAAATTACCAATGATATCTTGTTCATATTGAATTTGATCAGGACATTATGGCTTAGTTAGAGTGTGTTTAGATGTGAATGGATACAACTTGATAACTGAGAGTAATATACTTTCTAGAATAGTATTAATTTGATTGCTTTAGTGAATCAGCAAATTAACTAGAAATTACCTGTTTAAACAAATGTCAACATTAATTTGTGCCGAAAAGGTTGATCAGTGTGATAAATAAATAACCTAGTTTATGGAGATGAATCTCCGTCAATGCAATAATGTAAGTCAAGTGGAGAAATTAATACATATATTCAATGTAGATATATGAGACGTGGAAATATTTCATTAGTGCATCAGAGTATGAAGTGTTAAGTGTCAGACCTGAAATGTGTTTTATTAGGTATATTGTCTGTGTTGTAAAACTGTCAGGACTGAAGTACTGGTCAGGAAATCTTGATATGTGAGGAGACGGCTCAGATAGGTAAAAGAGAAAGTGGGAGTACTTATGGACTATCAAAAATAGTTTGTAAGTTGTGAGGTAGGCCTGCCTTATCTACCTGTATAGTTACAGCGTGCATGTGTAATCAATCAGATATTTACAGAAATCTGATTGGACTGTTCTAGCTGTGGTATCAAACAAACCACATGTCCAGAATTTGGCTCGATTATAACTGTACTGCAGCCAAAAGCGTGCTTGTGTTTTTGATATATACAGAGATGGGGCCACCTGAACTAAACCACATACCGGTTATGGTTTTAGAAGTACTTAGAACTTATTTGCATATCAATGCGGTTTTCTGTTGTGTGTTAGGAAAGAAGTGGGCTTGTTGAATTGAGGCTTGAGGCAAAGTATATTGTGTATGCGGCCTTACTTCTGTCAGACATGGGACTGAGTAACACGCGGGGCACTAACAATACTGTCAATTAGGATTACTTATAACCAGTTCTTGTGAGTCTGGGGCATGTTTCAATCCTACCTGTGGATAGTTACCTGTGATTGACATCATCACCAGGTGAAAAGGGACAGTGTTTAAAGCTATACCTGTACAACACACCTGTATATAGGCACTCAATATCACAGGTGTATTGTCACACGATTTCATTACAAAAAACAATACATTATGTATGTTGGATTTCGTTAGAAAATTCCTATCATTTTCTGGATTTCTACAAAGGATGTGTTAACTTAAAGACTGCAAAATTCTACTTGGATTTGTAAGTGGCCCCTGTGTTAGCCAAGTGAAAATTTGGAGGATTTACTATGAAAGGCTTTGTGTATTAAGTTCAGGCTCGGTGTTGATGGGGTGTAGACAGACAGGGAAGGTAGACATCACTTGGATCAACTTGCATTTCCTTATGTCATTAATCAAACTTGTATTTTCAGCTTGTGAGTGTTAGTGATAGCATCTTAAACAGAGAATATGTTACATATCTTGTCTACCTGTGTATTTATCTTGTCTACTTCATACCTATGTATTTATCTTGATTATATGTTTACCTGTGTTGTGTACTTGATGATACTCTAATCCTCTAATCCCTCACAGACCACAATGAACCTGTAAAACTCAATCAGTACTCGTTCTATTGTTAAACTGGAGGGTGAGGAGCTTGGAAATGTTGATGTTGCTTGTTATAATCCTTCATTTCAGTGTCTTGTTATTGTCTGACTCTGATCATCTGGTAGATTTTAAATAAATATTTTCATCTCTTACTAGATAATAAAACAATATATCACTGGTGCTAGAACTTTGGGAAATTCTTGTATTCATAAATAACAGCAAAACCAGAAATTTTAGTCGAATACATTTAAAGAATTCTGTTAAAAATATTTCATTTCTGATTTATCATGTTCTGACTCACGTTAGTTTCATTGAAATTAATATCTCGAGAATGTTAAGAATTGCAATGTTCTGCAAGTTACTTTAGCGACAGAGGATTTCTGATTTAGAAAAGGTCTCTGGTTAGAGTACAAAAAATGTCTGGCATGTCAAGTGTGTTTGCTAATTTATTGATAACTATACAAACTTACTCCTGAAACAAACATTTTTACAAACAAATGAAACTGTGAGCTAGTTTATCTCACATCTTATCAGTTCCAAAACGTGCAAAGAAAAAGCAGTAGTTTAGATTTTGTGTAAGGCGTATGTACATTTATTCTGTCAACAAAGCAAATGTTTATTTATCATTTTGTTATCGATCATGTATGATTAGTTATTGATAAGACCTGGTGCTAGGACTAGGCTTTTTGTATGGTAGTGATCAATGCCTCGTGGTGGTATAGAAGTCACAGCTAATGTGTGGACAAACAGCCTCTCTTGACTTTGGAAACAAGGTTGGCCTTTTGAAGTAACAAGCAGTTTTGTTACACCCTCAATAGTTGCCAAGTTTAAGAGAATATTTTCTATAAATAGAGATTTTCTCATATGTTGATTTGCTACCTGTTTAAAAAAGAAAAAAATGTTCTCATGGACGGGTACCATGTATGATTGTAGTTTGTTAGATCGAGGAGACTATATTTGGAAGTTGCCTTTTCACCTGTAGTTGACGCCAGACTTCAAAAACTATAGGGTTCCCTAAAGGATAAAAAACATCAGCATTTAGATATATAAAACAGCTATTAAAGAGGAATATAAACTTTATGAAG